CATTGTTCGGAGATTGAAAAATCGTATTGAATTACTGAAACAAAAGTGAAATAGGGAAAACTAGACACAAGAAAAGAAGTAACAGGACCGGGGCTTGAAGTTAAATCAAAATCCATAATATTGCGGGGCTGTTGCCATTGTCTTCGCCAACGAATCCCGATTGAATTATGAATTAATAAAGATGTTTTGCCCGCAGGCCAGATTTGGGTTACGCCGGCCGGGCCAAAAAGACCAAAAAGGGGCAGGTCAGGCCGAGTCCAACCCCCATGGAAAAGTGAGTTTTTGGCTTTTTGGATTTTCGGATTTTGGCAAACACGACGCGCACACACGAACTTCGAACAAGAAGAACAACAGGGAACAGTTCCCGGATATGTGTGTGTTTTCGGTGTGTTGTAACTTGAGGATGCACTTTTTGCCGCCGCCCCTTCGTTTATTGAAAGATAATTGGGTTCGGGCGATGAGCTGGGCCGGATCTGAGCAACCAGACAAGCGTAAAGTTCACCCAAACTCGCAATTCAATTGAGATTCAAATTCACTTACCCCAACCCCGGGACTCGGGACTGAGCACGGAGTCGGAATCGACTTCTAATATTTCAGCTGCCCGAACTGACACATCACCACCATCATCATTGTAACGCCCTCATCCAAGTCCCAATCCGAATCCTAAGCCCACTCCCCTTTGCTTTTTGACGTGTAAATGTTATCTCTTTTACAAATTAAGCCTCCCCCCAGAACATTTTCCTCCTCTCTCAATGGATTTTCAGCCTTGTGGCGGATTTTCATCTCCTCCACCCTCGCCAACAAAAAATGCCCAACAATTAAATGTAATTTGAACTTACTGACATCAGCGAGTGTTTGTATATGAATCGGTGTGTGTGTTATCCATGATGTGTGTGATTCGGAATTGTGTGTGGTGAGATCGCCCAGAGGGGTATAGATAATATTTGATAATTATTTCGTACAGATTGAAGCTTTAAATTGGTGGATAAATAAGATAATTGCTCAAAACCATGATTCGAATTGTAAATAATATTTGGATTATTACGGATTCGTTTTGTGAGTAAGCATTGAATACTATTTATAGCTTAACAAGGCAAAACATTTTTTACCCTATAGATATATATCATAAGTATATATGAGGTAGGTTTAATTTATATAGAAATAAATACTCAGCTACAGCTAGAAAAATATAGTAACACTTTAAATTGATTTTGAAATTGTGTAAAGTACAACAAACTTTATACTATGAATGATTATAATTTTAAATAATATTTCTAGGATCTTAAATCCTTCTACAAAATCGTATAAATATATTCAGAGTTAATAATTTAAACCAACATTTCTCACAGTTTTCTTTTTTTCTAAAACTTACTTACACTCTATCGGATATCAGCTTTAGGCTGAAGATTATAATACTCAAATGCTCCTCCTCTATCGATGATGTATCGAATGTCACAAAAAGCCTCATTGAGATTTTTAATAATTTGTTAAGCAAATCTCCCTCGAATTGACCTTCCTTCGAGCAGTGTCAGCTTTAAATCGGTTTAGGTTTAGGGGCCGCACACACTCTCGCCCACACATGGGCATCCGCATCGTGGAGAGATATACTCAAATCCAGACAGCCGGGAGCGATGCAGATGCCAATGGAGAACATGATCCCAGCCAGCGTTGACCACAAAGGGGTCACAGAATTGTGCCAGGGAATTGTTAAGCTTTACACTGAACAAACTTAAGTGTTGATTCTAGCTTAACTTCTCTTAAAAGCTCATCATAATGATAGATATTTTTATTTGCATAAAGGAACCATATATACTTTCTCTCAATATTGAATACTTTCAATACGTTTTTAAGGAAATTTTCATAATTCAATTCAAAATGAGTTTAAAATACGAATATTCTTAAATGAACATGTCCATTTTGTTAAAGAAACCAAAAAAGGTTTTAATTAATGCTATAAATGTTTTAGATTTTAAAACAGAACCAAAATCCTTGTTTTATTATATTGTTTCTTGTTAATTTCTTAATAGTTCAATGTTATTTTAATCTTTGAATTCGTAAATGTCAATCCTTTTAAAATATATAATATCATTGGAACATCATTAATATCTTTTCTGTTTTACAATACTTGAAAGAATGTTTAATATTTCTAAGACCTTGGTAGAACAAAATTTTTGTTTTTTATATAATTTAAGTCTTTCAACCATCACCAGTGTATCTGAAACAAAATTCTTTGACAAATACTCACTTTTGCACTTTAACTTAGTTCTCCCTCGGTGACGTCATTGATCGTTTGGCATTATTTGGATGGAAATCTTTGCCTTTGTCTCACCGACCTCAAACCCCATTTCGGAATACATCTGCATATAGCAGGCATATGTTGGTGGGCATATAGCACGACACGAATGCCAAATCGGCTTAAGGGCAAGTTATCGGCATTTGAAAATAAAAACACGCGCATTATCAACACCAAGCAAGAAGAACAGAAGGTTGATATGTGGAAATGCACTGCAAAAAAAGAGAAGAATTAGTGAACCAGATTTAGTTTAGGTATTTCAAAGTTGAAATTGAGAAAAAATTGTATTCCTAAATGATTGTTAATGATCCCTCTTCTTAAATTTGAGCATAAGCTAACCTTCTGCAAGATATACCTTGAGAAAGATTAGTTTAAAGATACATAGATAGATAGATACTCAAGTACCTAAAAGTATATGTTATTTTAAATAAAATTAAAAGGTTTTCCACACTTATCTTAAAAGTAACATTATATATTCAATAATATGATCGTCATTACTCAAAAAAATGCATTTCAACTTTAAAAATTTAAGAGATTTCTAAGGGAATTTACCAATCTTAGCCTTACCTTAATTTTCCCTCCCTCTCTCTTAGTGATTTCTTTCAGTGCATGAGCACTGCAATGCCTCTGGCTGAATGTGAGGATGAGGATGTCAAAGCCATCGTCTGTCTGGCTGTCAATGCGTTTTCCATTTGTCGCCTCTAATGACACACATATTTAGGTGTTAATCGCCTCATTGGAACGCTGGCAGCGGATTTGCTCGCATTGTTGTCCGTCCGGCGGTTGGGTTCGGAGTCGGGGATCTGTTAGTTCGGTTCAGGGATCGGGACGGGGATCTGGGTTTCGCAGGGTAAATATTGATGCTGCGATTATGACTATTGATGCGTTCACAATGGACTTGCCGGGCATTATCCTTTGGCCGATCAGCCAGCTAGATCTCCCCGGTTCTCCGTTTCTCCACTATCCTCCTCCGGCGATTAGTCGTGATTCCAGCCGGGGCTTCAGTCAATCGTATTTTGGCTTTATGGCACATTATCCCCTAAATCGCAAACAAAACTGCAAACAAATTGCCGCAAAGCGGGATCGGAAGAGAGTAAAGGACACTCTGGATCAGGCCAAACGGAGCATATGCTTGGAATCCGGATCGGCGGCATCCTTCGGTAGGTATACATAGGTAGCATTAAGGAAATTGCCAAATGGCTTCAGTGGCGAAGGAAGTGAGCTGCCAATGATACGATACCTTAGATGCTCTCTCCCTCTAAACCGATCCTGGAAGCCAAATTTCGGGGTTGTTAAATCCTCGATCGTGTCAGGGGTGTTTGAAAAATTAGTTTGGCATTTATGTTTACGTTTCGATATTATAAAATTATAAATACAAATTCTATATTTTATAGAACATCTGTCATGTTGTTGTTTTTAGGTTTTAAGGAAAATTGTTAACTGTTTTGGGAGTAAATATTAAATTGAACATATATTTAATTATAAATCTACTACAGACTTAAATTTAAGTTCGAAATATGTGAGCTATTTAGATAATTAGATATTTTGATTTAAGGTACTGAGAGAATTTTTGAAGAAACAAATACTTAAAAAATAACCGAAATAGCTAATTAATTTAGATAACAGAAAATCCATAAAATATTAAAAATGGAGCTAAAAAAATGTAATTTTCATTGATAGATAATTCCCACACTTTGACGACACATATGATTGGCGTTACATCCCAACGCCCCTAGGCTAATATGAACATTCAAACGTATAGATACATACAACAGCAACTCGACGAGGGTTTAACCATAATTTTTAGAGCCATCGCCGTTGCCTCTTCTTTTAATTGAAGTATATGTTAAGCTGATATACAGACATATATACGGTTGTCTGTGCCAACGCTGATCATGTGACGACCTCGCATATTGTTCTTTTTCGAAAGAGAAAAAAAAACTCCGTTTCATTCATCTTTTTGGTAATCAACCCCTGTCAGACAGACATTTATACATACAATATGTATGATTTTTAGGTACTAATACTCACAGCGCCGGCGTTGAAATTTTCAAGATGAAATCACAACATTTCCAACCACTGTACAGCTGTAAGCGTTGTGATTGGACAATTTGTAGTTAGCCAATCACAATACAAACATGGAATCTACACAACACAGATACAACACTTATGTTTTTAATAAGTAGGTATCACTTATTTATAGGTTTTTATAAAAATATATGACAGAATAATTAATAATAAGAATAATAATATAAACTTTATTTTAATTTAATAAACAACAACTAAATTTCAGAAAAACCGAAGAAATTTCAATTTTGGTATTCAAATAAAGCAGTGTGAGCAAGCAGTTGACATTACCCAAACCAGTGCCTGCTGAGGTAAAGCAAGCAGTTAACATTTACCAAATAATTGCGCTTAAAATTCAAAATAAATCAAATTCTAATCTTTGTGTCATAATTTTCTTGTGTTAAATTTCAGTGATAATTGGGCCGCACCAAAGGTAAATATAAAATTATTTCCTTATTTATTTACTGAAAGGAGCCATTATGATATATTACCGGATATGAAGAAAGTAGAAAGCAGGAGCCAAACTTAGGCCGGAAGTTCAACTGCTTTAATAACTGTCAAGTTAAAACTGTAAAAAAAATTACTTGTAAGTTTGTTTTGTTTTAAACCATTTTTATTTCTAAAAAATTAACATGCCTTTTGTTGTTGTTGTTTGTAGCTAGAATTATAATCACTAATTAAGTAAATGTTTTGTTTCTGTTCTTAATCCATTTGGTGTTTTCCTTCTTCTTTTTTGCTTTGTTTTTATCTTTCGATTCTGTTATCGCTTTAATTCTATTAAAATTTAACATGAAAGTTCAGCTAAAAATTGCTCAATTGTTACATTCAACGTTATACGCCTTGTTTTTGTGTTGTTTTTATTTTTTGTTTGATTTTGAAATGGATTGATTCGTATAACAGCTTGAGGCGCTAGAGTTTTAATAACAAAGTTTTCATTTTTCATAATGTGTATATGATGCGTGTTTATGCGTATAAAAAACAAAAACAAATTTACGCCCTAGAATATATTACCAAGTAAATAAGTAAGTAAGTAAGTAAGTGGTAAATATATATATTAACTGAACACAACAAACCATTTTTTACATCGCTTGAATTGGCTAGATAGAGCAAATAAGGTCTTGGGGAAAGGGTTGGTAAATTACCCTAACTAATTAATTCAATTATTAATATATGTATTAATTAGAACAAGGTCTGGGGAACGTAATGTACATAATGTGCAAATATGTGCTGCCAACGGAAGGGGTTGGGGTGGGGGTATGATGAACAACAAAATGATATTAACAAAAACCTTCGACTAAGAATTAAAGCTACCTAAAAATTACAGATCAATAACAACCAAAGAAGATGTAGTAGAAGAATTAATTAAGGGGTGTTGCATCCTCTCGCTTCCTGCTGCTACTTTTTACATACGTAATTAATGGATACAAGTGTGTTTTGTTATTTTCGCTATTAGCCCTAGAATTTTGTTTTGTGAACATCATGGACGGATGTTAATCTGAAGTAAAAATTGTTTTCTCTTTTTTTTTGTGGCGCACAGTGGGCGCGCCTTGCTGGCTCTGCATACAACCCGTGAAGTCAGCAAAAGGGGGAAATGGGGATTCCAAGGAATAGAGGGGGGAAAAGGGCACTTGTCGCAATTTTGATTTACACTAAAGTTAACTATACTATATAATCAACAGCTCCTCCTACGTCATCGTCCAGTTTTGCTTTGTTTTTCTTTTGTTTTTTTGTACAGTGATCGCTCGCATCATCATCGCAGATGTGTAGATATCAGTAATATATATGTATGTAATGCTATATCATAGGCATCTAAGGCATAGTTCTTGTCTAAACAATAAAGTTCCCTTTACTCATATTTCGATTTTACCAATTATTTACAACAATTTCGTATCACAATTGTAATTTTTGCATTTGTTTTTGTCTTGTTGCTTTCCATCTCTAACTCGTTTTTGTTTCTGTAAAATTTTCCTATGCTTCGCTCTCTGTGTTGTATGCAAACTGACGAGCAGCACTGTGCGAATATTCGAAAGGTTTTGCCCACAAATTTCTGGGAGTGTGTTATTGTGTTAGATATAAGTTCGAATTTGAAACTAGGAGCTATGTATGTATGTGAAAGGTACGAGTATATTATAATTGAATTCATAATTCGATAACCTCTTTGCTAAGCTAAAAGAATCTGTATCTGTATCTGTGTATCTGTGTATCTGTATCTCGGTGATTTGAAATCGTTTGAAAGTGCCCCCGAAAGCATGCTACACACTTTTGAGCGCCTTTTGAAACGATCCCCCATGTGAGGGGGGTAGAGAGTGTGTGTATGTTTGTATATATCCTGGCTATATTCTTGTATATGTAACATTCGCTTGTATATAGATATAGCTTCTCGATTTATATCCGCTTTAAAGCGTTTAATTAAACTTGCTGCCTTGTCGCATTAAACTCTGAAAACATAACAAATTTAAAGCCCTTCGCTGAAACTGTATAGGCGTATATATATATATACTATATATATATATATCTGATGTATCTATATGTGGTGTGTGAGTGAGTGTTGTGGGATAGAGGGAAGAGACGACTCTAAAACCATAAATTGCCACCTTTGAGGCGAGCCTTAGCTAATATATGTTTTTATGTATGTATAATGCACTAAAACCGACTTAAGCGGACTTACTAACGTAAGTTGGTTGCTGGTTGCGGGCCAGTTGAACCGGCTGGAAATTATTGCCAAGTACTTAAGGACTAAACTACGAACCTAAGGCATAATATAAGACTACATAACAGGGTTCTCTCCTTGTCTCTCCGGGAAGGTATTTACGTCCATCGACTCGTTAAGGGATTAGGTAACTACGTAGCTCTCATTTGATCATTCGTACTCTCTGCATGCAGATCATAAAAATATGATGAGTTATCTCTAACTAACTATATATGTATATATATATATATATATATATATCTGTGTGCATATATATATATATATATGTAACGTAGACATAAGTGTAAACGTAGAACTAGATGGTAAGTGTATAATTTGCTCTGAGCTTAACTGTGTGCCTGGTTGTGGAAAATCTCTCAAAATTGAGCTAAGTAAATATTCTGAATCTGTTGATTCGCCGGGTATGCAATACACCCGAGCTCCTCATTACGTCTCGATCCTATCCTCCGGATCCTGGGCCGGCAAGCTGGCTATGCATCCATCTCCAACTCCTACTTGCCGGCCAACTGTGGCTGCTATTGGTGGCTCTTGCTAAGCAGATGCGCATTGAACTCGTAGACATTGTTCATCTGCTCGCCGCAGATGTTGCAACGCCACGGATTGCTCTCACAGTGGCAGCCCTTGTGCAGGAAGTACAGCGTCTCGTCGGGGAATTCGATTCCACAGAAGTGGCAGGTGAGGATCAGTTTGCGGTTGAGCATAAGATCGCCATCCTGGCCGGTCGACGTGATCGTTCCATTGCAAATGGGCGTCGAATTGGCGCCATTGCTGGCATTTGGAGTTGCGGGCGCGGGTGGACCACCGCTGCCACCTCCTGATCCAGCGCCTCCAGTGCCGCCATTTACACCACCGGATCCTGTTCCGGAGCCATTGCTGAGGCTGTTGGACAGCACACTATTGTTGTTATTGTTGTTGCTACTCTCCAAAGGTGTGGCATTCCGGGTGATCCGGTTGTTGGCCTTGGCGCAGATGCGTCGCTTAAGATCCTCGCGCAGGAGCGACTTCAGTGGCGAGACCTGGTTGGTATTAGATTAGTTAATAATAATTTCATTTACTAATAATTATTTTAAGGACAGACCTTGATCAATGAGGTGATTCTGTTGTTGTTGTTGCTGCTGTTGTTGTTATTGTTGTTGGAAGCCTGCTCAGTATCGCTGCTGGGATCACTGCCATTCATCAGGTCCTTCTTGTCCACATCCTCGGCCATGGGCTCCTTTTTTAAATGGGAATAAATAGATTAACATTAATAAACTATGAACAGTTATTAAAATATTTAAAGATGAAAAAAAGATTTCACTATAAACTATACAACATATAATGGCTTGTATAGTTTCTATAGTTTTAATCCTTAACTATAAACTTTAGTAGCGATCAACTTACTAACATATTACTACCACAACTTTTTAAAATAACCCTACAAAAATACACAAAATAAAATACTTCATTCCGAGTTTAGTTTTGTGAAATTAACCCTCAACTTCGTTTTGGGTCAAGATCAATCGCTGAATCAAACACCAGTGTATATGTAAAGCCCTGGATCTCTCGGAAAGCCATAAAGCCACCTCAACCAAATTAGGTATGCAGTCTTTTGTGATGCACAACAGGTTTTTCAAAATATTGTTCCGCCTTCGCATGTGGATAGAGCGGATGGAGAGGTGAATATTTTATGACTCGGGCTGCTATATAACTCCGAATCAGTGTAGAGCACTTAAGTTGCATTAATTATTAGAAATCCAATGTAATGGGAAATATTATAGAAAAGCTATACATTCTTAAGGGCTTTCTTATATATTGAATATGCAGATATTTTGACTTTAATGTAACCCACAATTTAAATGTAATAGTGGGCGAAAAGTGGTCCAATTAGTTACAGATCAGTTTGTAAAACCAGAGCCATAATTACACTGAATAACATAGTAAATATACTGGATGGTAAATTTGTTTTAATAGTTAGAAAAAAAGAGGAATAAAATGTATTCCATAAGTTCTAATCATTATTATATTATTCTCCTGTATACCATTATTGGATAAATGTAAAGTCTCATATATACATATATTCTGATTCCATTTACTATTCTATATAAGTGCTTTACTTAACCCCGATTTCCCCCACAAGAGACTTACCTGTTTGATGGGTATCAGACTGATCGACGGCGTTATGTGATTCTCGTGGAGATGGTGGTGGTGCGGATGTGGATGCTGGTGGTGCGGATGATGGTGGCTCTTGAGACTCGCACTCAGGCTGGAGGCTGTGGTGCTGGACGTGATGGGTGTGGCCTTTGTGTTGCAATCCATGGGCAACTCCACTGGGGATTGCATGATCAGGGCGCGATCTTTCACCTTCTCGCCATTGGACTCGATGCTATTTCCATTGCTAATCGAGTTACTGTTGTTATTATTGCTGCTGTTGTTGTTGTTGTTGCTCCCGCTTATATTGTTGTTGTTGTTGGTAACACAGTTGTTATTGTTGTTGTTGTTGTTTCCCTGTAATGCAGATTCACGCCAAACGCAAATCAGCTGTGTTATTTTGTTGTAAGCAAGGGGAATTTAAAATAATAAACGAGGGAAAGGAGGTGTAAATTATATACAGACAAAGTCAAAATAATAGCACCGACTTTATCTTCCCGGAAAAGAAAAAGGTAACTTTTATTATCATAGAATTTCGTTTTTAGTTTTATGATAATCGGAATACTATACATATAATATAACTGCCAGAGAAACGGTTGCTAAATGTAGAGGATCAGTAAGTATCTTTCAACAGTAAGTAACTCTGAACAGAAAGTATCTATGAACAGAATGTAAATATGATTAGCAAAAACCTATGACATGTAAGTATGTATGATCAGTTACTAACTTTGAACACTAATAAACAATGACTTGCAACTTTTGTAACACAATACATTTCTGGTACTTGGCCGGCAGCAGTCACTTCGTTCCGGGGATGTTAGAACAAGTTGGGAATCATAATTACAGATGTGCGAGATGTCCAGTAAGTAGCTATGACCAGTAACTAACTATGATCAGTAATTAACTCTGATTAATAAGTATCAATGAACAGCAAGTAACTTTGACCAGAAATTATCTATGATCAGTAAGAATATTTGACCAGTAAGTATCAATGAACAGCATGTAACTTTGACCAGTAAGTATTTATGATCAGAGTGTATAAATGACCACTAATAAACAATGAGTTGCAACTTTTGTAACACAACACATTTCTGTAAAGTCGGAGCATGGCGAATCGGTGGACTATATATATTTCAAATTTAACTAGAAACTTTAAAACGAAACAAGAAGAAGAACAAAAATAATTGTGTTTGCTACGGTGCTTAAGTACACTGGTTGAGAAGCGCAGAGGAGGGCACTTTTTTGAGAGAGTGAATGCGAGGAAAGTATTAGACATATATATAGCTGATATAGGCACAATCGGACGATTTATTGAACTATGATCAGTAAGTATCAATGAACATTGAGTAACTATGACCAGTAAGTAGCTATGACCAGTAAGTAACTATGATCAGTAATTAGCTCTGATTAGTAAGTATCAATGAACAGCAAGTAACTTTGACCAGGAAGTATCTATGATCAGTAAGTATCAATGACCAGTAAGTATTTATGAACACTAATAAACAATGATTTGCAACTTTTGTAACACAACACATTTATGTAAAGTCGTAGTATGGCGAATCGGTGGACTATATATATATCAAATTTAACTAGAAACTTTAAAACGGAACAAGAAGAAGAACAAAAATAATTGTGTTTGCTACGGTGCTTAAGTACACTGGTTGAGAAGCGCAGAGGAGGGCACTTTTTTGAGAGAGTGAATGCGAGGAAAGTATTACACATATACAGTCACTATGTTCCGGGGATGTTTGAACCAGTTGGAACAAATTTAAGAGCAAGCTATTTCAATGAAACTATGGAGTTATTCTTCTATATAATTTAACTAGTATATAAGTCGGAGAATGGCGAATAGGTGGACTACATATATACATATATATAGCTGCCATAGGAACAATCGGGCGATTCATATATCTATAATCAGTAATTAAGCACGACAAGTAATTAACTATGAGCATTAAGTAGTTATGAGCATTAAGTATCTATGACCAGAAAGTAACTCTGACCAGTAAGTATCTCCGAACAGGAGGTATCAATGACCAGGAAGTAACTATGATCAGTAAGTATCTATAACCAGTAATTATGCATGATCAGTTAATAACTTTGAACACTAATAAACAATGACTTGCAACTTTTGTAACACAACACATTTCTGAGACTTGGCCGACAGCAGTCACTTCGTTCCAGGGATGTTTGAACCAGTTGGGAATTATATGCACAGGGTGAGATTTGTTTTGGAACAAATTTAAGAGCAAGCTATTTCAATGAAACTATGGAGTTATTCGTCTATATAATTTTAATAGAATATAAGTCGGACCATGGCGAATCGGTGGACTGTATACATATATATATATAGCTGCCATATGAACGATCGGACGATTTATAGAACTATGATCAGTAAGTATCAATGAACATTGAGTAACTATGACCAGTAAGTAGATATGACCAGTAAGTAACTATGATCAGTAATTAACTCTGATTAGTAAGCATCAATGAACAGCATGTAACTTTGACCAATAAGTATTTATGATCAGAATGTATAAATGACCAGTAAGTATCTATGAACACTAATAAACAATGACTTGCCACTTTTGTAACACAACACATTTGTGGTACTTGGCCGGCAGCAGTCACTTCGTTCCGGGGATGTTTGAATCAGTTGGGAATTATATGCATATATGTGCGAGATTTGTTTTGGAACAAATTGGAGCTATTTGAATGAAACTATAGATTTATTCTTCTATATAATTTTACTAGTAAATAAGTCCGAGCATGGCGGATCGGTGGACTATATATATACATATATATAGCTTCCATAGGAACGATCGGAGAATTTTAAGATAAAACAATTATAACTTTTAATGTTTTCAATAGATTTTCATCAAATTTGATATATAGCCATTATATATTAATCTAGAATTTTGTGTACAATTATATAAGTACAAATTATAAGTTTGTAATATTTTAAAAACCCCAGAAAAGATTTTCAAATCAATGCTATTACTTTGACCATTACTGAAGCCTTGGACACTTACATTAAACAGCTCCGTATTGCCGCTTTCGCCCAGCGTCGAGATCTCCACATGCGGCGTGAGGAAGTGCATCGGGGGCGTGGCATTCTCCAGGGATCGCATCGATTCCCCGCTGTCGCTGGCCGGCGGCGCCACCTGAGGCGGCTGATGCTGCTGCTGCTGCTGCTGCTGTTGCTGAGATTGAGATTGCACCGGTACAGGACTGAGTCCTGGTGGAACGTAGCTGGCCGCTGCTGCTGCCGCAGCCGCCGAGGCCTGTGATTCGAGAGCCAGAAGCAGGGAGGAAGTACCACCCGGTCCGGGGTTATCCAGATCGATGCCGTGCCGGTTGAAGAAGTGGATCCGCAGGGACTTCATGGAGCCTGCCCGGTAGCTGCACAGTGGACACGTCTTTACCAGGTCATGCTGACCCACATGCTCGTTCTGGAAGTGGGCACGCATTGCGATCTGGCGCTGGAAGCCCCTGTTGCAGATCGGGCAGTGGTACGGCAGCGTCTTTGTGTGCGTGGTAAAGTGCTCCGCCAAGTGATCCTTCCGGAAGAATCGCTTCTGGCACACCCGGCACTCGTAGGGCTTCACGCCCGTGTGCCGCATCTTGTGGCGTCGCATATTGGCGCCATTGGAGAACTTCATGTTGCAGACATCGCACTCGAAGACCTTGCGGGAGCTGCTGTTGCCGCCACCACCGCTGCCACCGCCTCCGCCACCGCTGTTGCCCGCTGGCGAGGAGCTAGCCGAGGAGCTGGAACCGTTGCCCGTCTCCCCCTTGACGCCACCCTCCATGTGACCCAGGCTCATGTTCTCCGGCTCCTCGCCGCGCATGTCCTCGCTCTTGAGGCGCGCCGCCACAGCTGCCGCCGCCGCGGCCTGACCCGCCAGACACTGGACCACATGGAGCAGCAGGGAGGCACGTGAGCTGGTCTCAAAGCTATCGCAACGCTCGCAGCGGAACGTCATGGGCGGCGAATGTGGCCCGGTGCTGAGATTCGTGGGCGTGGGCGTCGGTGAGCGTGGCTCCTGTAGCTCCGACTCCGAGGCGGAGGCGGATGAGGCCGCCTCCTTGAGGCTACGCAATGCCATTGCGTTATGATGTAGCAAGGCCGCTGTGGTGGGCGTCATGTCCACAATAATGCCACCACCAACTGACGGGCTGGTGTCCTTCAAGGCCAGCTCCATACTGCTGGCCGCCGTACTAAGAGTTTCGGCCATCTGCAAAGGAAAATTATATATATTTTAGTTAGTTTTGAGCTGGGAAAATGCACTGTGAACTACAATAGTCAAGGATAATTTTATCCTTTTTAGAGATGTCACAGGAACCACAAATAATTTGTAAATAAAGGAGTAATTTGTAAACTTGAACATTATATTTTTTTCATTTATATTTCCTCTCAGTGCAATAAAGATTAGACCCAGGCCACGCCCAAAAATCGATGACAAGTTGTGGTTGCCTTTTTTCATTATTTTACTTATTTTATTCTCAACTTTTTATTGTTGTGTTTCGTATTTTGCAGTTGGTTTTTGGCATTTCAAGTGCTTCCAAGCTAACTAGAGAGACCCAAGCCCAAACTCAGACTTCGACTCTAATAAGCCAAATTGGTGTCAGCGTCGCAGCTTCGTGGGGGCTGGCTGGAGGGAGGGGATAGGGGGAACCTGCGCCAAGAACCCAAACCACCGACCAATAGCAACAACAACGACCATTTTTGGGCGGCCTTGTTGTTGTTTCTGGCCATTGACGTTGACTTCGTGCTATGAAAATACCAAAGTTATTGGGGCCAATTACTGGTCTTGCAGGTGGGCAATCATTTGGACACCCAGGCACAAACAAAAACACACAAGCAAACACGTTCAAACATTGTCAGAGAGAAGATATGGGAAGTGGGGGAGAGCGAGGAGAGGGGAGAGGAGGTGGGAGTACACACACACACATCAACAAAATCAGAACTACAACAACTTTAACTTCATCATCACTCACTGGCCAAATCATTCAAAAAGTTTGCCACAAACACACAATGGCCACCAACTGGCATTTGGCTAAGAAGCTCTAATGATGTTTAGGCCAAACTCTAACGTCTTCTATTTTTATTCGAAAAATAGATTTTAAACGGGAAGTAGTGCACGTATTTATAGATGGGAAAATTATAGTTAATAATTAAACTATTTAGGAAAGGGAAGTGAAACCTACCAAAACTATAAAATTTTAAAGGATCGACAAAGAATTCATTTTAAAGTTTGTGTAATAATTTAGCATATTATTTATTTTAATTTAAAATAGTTAAATTGATTTTTAATAAGATATATTATATACATTAAATACCAATTTAATAAGATATATAATACGATAAAAAATACCTTTTATATTTGACATTCGAACTTGTCAAGTAAAGGCTTCAAATTACGTATCCGACCTGTGGTACCGAACAGCAAGAACTTAATTCTTCAAGAATCTTAACTTAAAGTATGATAAATAATTTGGCATGTTATGCATTTTAATAAAAACTGATATGAGTCTAAAGGCTTTCCTTAATATTAAAAGAAAACAAGAAAGGAAGCTAACTTCGGCACGCCGAAGTTTATATACCCTTGCAGATAGAACTTCTATGAATAGAATACAATATAAATTATATATATTTGTGTTAAAAAACAATGAAGTAATACCTGCTTTCATTTCATTCACCTATACATATTATATTTGCAGTTTTACATTCACAGATTTGCATTTTTCCTCTACATCAAACGATCGTTTGTATGGCACCTATATGATATAGTCGTCCGATTTTTATGAAATTTGCCACAAAATTTAAGACTTATATAAAATGGCTATACCTCAAATTTTATGAAAATCAGCTGAAAACTAAAAAAGTTATAAATTTAATTGTATTAATTTCTCGATCGTTCCTATGGGAGCTATATGATATAGTAGTCCGATTTTCATAAAATTTTACACAAAATTTTAGAATAATATGAAATGGCTATATTTCAAATTTGATTAAATTCTGTTGAAAACTAAATATGTTATCGCCACCGCGATTGTCAGTCTTCCGACAACAGCAGTGTTGCCAGGTGATGAGCGCCCATATAAGCTAGATTTAAAAAAAAAATAAGCTAGAATAAGCTAAACAATTTAAAAAAATGCGAAAAAACAAGCTACACCCAAATATGAGAAAACACGAAACATATAATATATATTATTATATTATATGAATATGTTATTATTAAAGAAAGTCTTAAAAATATGTTCTTAAAGTAAGCACTTAAAACAAATTAGTTAATATTTCATCAATTCCTTCATGTTGTTCGTCGCCGAGTGTTCGGCAATGAACAAACAAAGCGCTGCTTCCTGATCCTGAGTCTTGCAACACTTAGCCGGAAAATTTATTTTTTGCGATTCAGCAACTGATCTCATTGATAAAATGTGCTTTTTTGATGCCGCATGCTGCCTGATTTAAAAAATTTTGGCTGATATTGTCGTCTTACAGTAGCAACAATATGCTTTGGTTCCTTCTCCTGGCACTTAAATTCGTTGTTTTGGAGCCAAGCATCCCGAAAAATCTGTTTATATATAACTTTCGGCATTTTGAGGACACGCTTTACCTATTTTCACAACACAACAAAATTATTGGTGGTAACACTTCAGCCAACAAATCGATCTCCGATGACACTTTCGATTAGAAATAAGTTCACGATCACATAAAATGCACATAACCATCGGAAAAAAAGAACAAACTCCAATATTTTCATGCTATAAAGCATATTTTTCGTAAAAAACATTCCGTGGATGTCAAAAATACATAAAAAGCTAAAATATGCTAGATGAATTTTAAAATAAGCTATATTTCAAGCTATAAGCTAGATGGAAATTTTTCAAGCTTTTCTAGTTTCAAATATGCTAGAACTAGCTTATAATAAGCTAACCTGGCAACACTGGACAACAGCCACCGCCATCCTCATTCCTCTCAAATTTCTCGATCGTTCCTATGGGAGCTATATGATATATTAGTCCGATTTTCATAAAATTTTACACAAAATTGTAGAATAATATAAAACGGCTATATCTCAAATTTGATGAAAATCTGTTGAAAACTGAAAATGTTATACTTATTAATTGAATTAATTTCTCGATCGTTCCTATGGGAGCTATATGATATAGCCGTCCGATTTTCATAAAATTTTACACAAAATTGTAGAATAATATGAAATGGCTATATCTTAAATTTGATCAAATTCTGTTGAAAACAAAAAATTTTATAATTTTTTTGTAAAACTTTTCCGATCATTCCTATGACAGCTATATGATATAGTCGTCCGATCCGGCCCGTTCCGACATATATACGAGTGAGAGTATATAGAAGACTAACTGCAAAGTTTCATTTAGATAGCTTCAAAACTGAGAGACTAGTTTGCGTAGAAACGGACAGACGGACAGACGGACAGACGGACAGACGGACAGACGGACATGGCTAGATCGACTCGGCTGTTGATCCTGATCAAGAATATATATACTTTATATAGTCGGAGGTCCCTCCTTCACTGCGGTGCAAACTTCTGACTGAAATTATAATACCCTGCAAGGGTATAATGATCGAGAATATAAATAAAATTACGTATCCGACTAGTGGTACCAAAAAATAAGAAGTTAATAATTCATGAATCTCATCTTTAAGTTTGTGAAATAATTTGGCATATTTTACATTTTAATAAAAACTGACATGAGTCGGAAGGTTTTCCTTAATGTCAAAGGGAAATTGTCGAAAATATACAAAAAAAATTACGTAGCCGACTAGTGGAACGGAACAGTAAGAGCTTAATGGTTCTGAAAAGTCAACAAATAAGATCCACTTAAGTCACCCACTTTCTTTCAAAATGAGACCAGCTAATGACCGTCTTTAAATGGAGTTTAATTACAGAGAGTTATTTATAATGTTTAAGGAATAAGATAGTAATAAGATAGTTTACGTATACGTAATACGAAATACTTTCAATTATTATCTTATCTTATTTGTCAATAATATAAGAAATTGATGTGAATTTATACAATTTGGTTTAATAATAAGGAATCCTTCTAAGTCCCTACAAGATCAGCAGACTCAGAGCTTCACAATTACCAAAATTGAATATTATTTGGTGATTTTTTCTTCACAATTGTAATGTATGATTTAATGCTTAATTTAGACTCATCGACCATATTTTGCACAGTTTTAGAAGCCTCGTATTCCATCCCCATTGTGCAATATTGACTTACTGACGGATGTCACCATCACGTCGTCTGGCCTGGGGTTTTTGGCAATAGGTCAGATGTGGCTCAGATGTGCTCGTGGCTGGGACTGGTGGCAAAGACAACGAGGTGAGGAGATGGTGGAGACACATGTCAGGTGCGGATGTGTGTTTGGGGTGCAGTGTGAGTGTATATCGGGCAGCGTATAAATCATCATCCATAATCAACCGAATGGAGCTGGCCAAGCTCTTCTCGCGGCTAATTTAAGCCGACCTTGGATGCTGTCTGTGCATTAGCATTAGCCAGATCACAAAAGCCAAGAGCCAAGAGCTAAGAGCTAAGAGCTCAGAGCCAAGAGCCATGGGGGACGACCTCAGCCCCGACCAGATTCCCTGGGCCCACATACCATTTATATGCATACATATGTATATGTGAGTGTTTGATATATGTGCATTTCGGGCCAGGTCAACTTTGAGCTATGAAAAATGAATGTGTGTCGTAGGCCTATTTTGGACGCATCTACATAATTACAAATTCACTTTTTCGATGCGAACGGGTTTCGGTTTTGAGTACAAGACTTCTTTTTCCACCGCATCCCAGGCCACTTAAATGTTGTAAACTTGTAAACATTAGCGGCGAGCACAAAAAGCCAAAAAAAAAAAAATCAAAAAAACTAAAAACGAAAAAAAAACTGAAGCGCTGAAAAACGCACAAAAAAGTCGGTTTGCATTTTTAGTAATTATGAGGCGCTGTTGGCTTTGGCATTATAAATGCCATAGTTGCCAACCCAATGGAGTCATTGGGTCAAGTTTTAGAGTGCAACTGGGTCAGGCTTTATCATTATTATCATTATCACCACCAGCCCAGCACCATCATCATCATCGTAATCTCTGGCCAAGCGGTGGCCAACATACAACCCAACTTGTCCGGGCTTTTGGGTCTCCCAGTCTCGGGTCTTTGGGGTGTCCCGCATTTTCACTTGCTCGCCGGCCCGCTG